CAAGAGATTCTGTCTGTGCAGGAGGTCTTGCCCTCACCACAGCACTGTCCTTGGCAGCAGGAAGGTCTTTAATGTGCTCTCACAGTGGCAATCTTTAGCTGTGCTTAGACTGGTAGAACAATGCTAATTCCTCAAATAGAGAAGAGGAAGAGTTGCTAGGTTTCTAGCTCTTTCCTGTAGCTGTTATGAAATGAATCAGTTAAATACGGGCTTTTTTCTTGAGTATTTTTTAGCTTGGTGAGTGTAAATTTGTCTGTTGAAATGTGATACTTGAATTTTCTTGTAATGTGCAAGATGATCTCCTCTGGAAGCTTTTCATATAATGTTGCTAGCTGTTTATATGCAAAATACTATGTTAAATGATGATGGAAAGACAAAAGAAGACTATTTAGAGGCCATCTACTAGGGTAAAACTTATGCTAGTTTAAGATCTAAGCAGAATTCAGAGGGTTGCAGACACTTGGATGCAGCAGTGAGTGCATTATAAATGCTGTGATGAAAAAATTCAATGAGTTGCTTTAAATAGAATTTGAGTATAATTACTGCATTAGGTTAGTATTTTTGGTAAATCTGTTGATGATAAAATCCAGTAAGTCCTCTAAAAGCACCTGCTGAGTGTTGAAAGCTTAAGACAAAAGTTTACTAACAATAAATTTTGGAAAAGGAGTGTAGTGTACTTGGGGATGAGTGCTGCCACTGGGGACCTTGCAACCTGATTGCTGGTGGGCAATGTCTTTTTCTCACTGTATTTACGCCTATTCCTTACATCTTAGCAGTGTGTACCTCACCTGTCTGGACACTGACAGAGCTAGATTTATATATGCTCAGCAGTCCAAGCTGGTTATCTTATTAAGGAGCATTTTATTCTGTTTGCAACCCAAATGGTAAGCATGTTGATGCTTATGCCAGCCCTCAAACCTAGGAAAACCTCATTAGATGGTTTAGAAATACAAAGTATAAAAGCTTAACACTAATGAATCTTGCGGCTTTTCTTAGAATAAGCATTGATGGTGAACTAGATAAATGGTTTAAAAGTGCTTTGGCAGGGTAATTCTAAAGGGACAAGGCAAATGAGTCTAAATTATGATGGGACTGGATCATGCTGGCTTTCTTCTGGTATAGCACTTCTGTTGTGTAACCCTTGTGTAACGTCTGTGTTGGGCAGTACTCAGCTGTGAATGCCTCGGTAAAGTGGCTTTACTAAAAGTAAGACCTCGAATGAGGAGGGTGAAGGTAAAGATGCAGTGCCTGGTACTTACTTGTCAGGTAGAAATTATAGCAGACCTTTTCTTGTAGTTTGTCTGAGCTGTGGGCAGAGCATGTTAAGATCAATGACAGTGACTTGCCAATAGTGAGGTGGCCCCTGGGTATCTTTCAGAACAAAGCGCCCTTGGTGCTTGGTTTTTTAGCCTTTTTACATGCTAGGAGAACCGATTTGTATTTCTGTGCCAGCACTTGGGCTCTTGATATGAAACAAAACACTCGGTAAAGCTGCATCTGCTCTGAAGTATTGTCAGGCCTCTTATTTGCTAACTGGGAATGGAGAGCAGTGCCTCCCACCACCTGAAATGGTAGAAACCTCACTTTGTTTTTCCAGTCCACAACTGGCTCAAAAAAAACCCCTGGCTTGGTAGCATGTGGAGAAACAATTCTTTGTATGTTGTTTCCACACCAATGAGGTTTAACAAAGCTCAATTTTACAGCAAACTAACTTCTCAGCCAAGTATTAAATTACTATGAAACCAGTGGTTAAAATGTCACCGGTACAGCCCAGGACAAACTCTTCCCCAGCTCGGCTTGCTGACAGTTAACAGCAGTATGCTGTTGAATGTGTTAAAACTTTGTTCAGATCAGGGAAGCTAGCATTACCGGGGTGTGGTTCTCTAAAGCACAAGCCCGTTTCCTGTGGTATCTTAGCTCATGCTGTCTTCTAAAATAGCATAGGCTGAAGTTGCAAGTGCAGACCCCATTCAAGACTCTGCTGCTCCTAAACCTAAGGTTGCTGTTCATCTTAAGCACAGGGGGCTTCCACTAGAGGAAAAAAAAGTGTATGTCTTCCTATTGAATGTACTAATTGAAGGATGATAACTGGTCAGATAGCTTAAGTGCATTTAAGTGCACTTAATGAAGGAATTTTGCTGGTTCCATTGTGGGACCTTTTTTTACTGTGCTAACAAAGGTGGGAGTTTCACAAATAAATATTGTGCATGAATTATGAGGATATTTACTGAAGCAGCTTTATTTTAAATTTTAAGGTCTGATTTGCTCTGAACAGCTTAAAAGCTATTTGGGCACAGGTTGCGAAGAACTGCATCACATGTTTCAGTTCTGTTTTCTGGTGCTTCCTCTGTGCTCAGATACTTCAACGCTCAATTACCTATGCAGAGGATGTCAGGTAAGAGTAGCTACTGTGTTTTATCCATAACCAGTGGAGCAAAAAGACTTTTTCTTTCATGGTAGCTGGTACCTTAGTGTTTTAGGTGGACAGGAAAGACCTGAAAACAAACAAAAAAGGCAACCTGTTGCTTAATGGCTCATTTAATGTAACTCCTCTTATACTTAGATGTGGCATATGGACAGCTTTGCTCTCACTGGTACGTATGCTGGGCAAGTCAGGCTTACAAGCCAGCACTCTTTCTGGTAGAAGAGGCTGCTTCCAAGTATAAGTAGCAAAGCTGTTTTAGGGAGCATTCAGCCCTTTTAACAAGCAACTGGATTCCTGGTTCACCAAAGCACTGTGAAATTAGCCAATTGTCAACATCCAGGATCTGAGGAGAATAATTTTGGGAAGGTATAGCAAGAGAACTTAACGCATCTGCATGCTATTGAAAGCTGCTAATTTTAAACAAAGCTTGATTGCTTATGAGTTTAGGTCGTTTGCTCTTTCCTTGCTACTTCTATGGGATGGTTATTCCTCAGTTTGATGTCATTGTGTCAGAAGGTTCAGAGGGTTTCAAAACCAACATATTCCTTGTCTGCTTGTTTGTGATATTTTTGCTCCAATAACGTCTAAATAGCATTCCTTACACATGCAACGATTAGGACTGCAACTCTTCTTGACTTCAGCTTTGCTGTGCTAAGCCTACTTTTAACCTCTTACAGAATATGCTTAAATTTTTAGCTAAACTTGAAACAAGAAAACTTTTAGGCTGCTCATGAGGGGTTATCAAGTACAAAATAGTGGTGTGCCTCAGCTCAAGTAGGCTTTTTCCAAAACTTCAGAATGTATTTGGATGTAGTGGTCTCTTTCAGCACTTTACTTAGACTTAACTAGCAGAATGCTTCTTGCTTATGGAAAAAACCCTGGCTGTAGCTCTCTTGCAGTCTGCTACTGCTTTCTTAGTAAACAAGATGTGAAATCTGTCCATATACTAAGTAGAAATACAGGGATCGGAACTGGCTGCGATCATATCAGTATTGGGTGTTTCCTTGAATATTTCTCTGCTTCCTCTAGCTTTTTGGTCTTTAGTGTCATGTGGTTAGCTTATAGTCTAAATGTGAGTTCAAGTTATTCTTAGTAAAACTGTTAACTGCATTAACCCCACCCCTCATCCCTGGAAGGCTGGTGGAGTGTGCCTAGAGAACTGATTGCACTGATGAGCAAATAAATTGGGGTTTGTTGATGTGGGGTAAACGGCTGTTGGCAAGAAAGAGAACTATGAATGCAAGGCCTTTATGCTGGGGTTTGGTGCACTGTGAATATCTTGTCTGTACAACTTCAAATTTTGAATCTTTGCTTTGACAGAGAAGCATTAAAACAGTTTGATCTAAAATATCTGCAGTTTGTGTTCATAAATTGTGAAATATCTTTACCTTTTTCAGTTAATAGTTATGCAAGTAGAAATTGATTCTCAGACAGCTTGGTGTACTTGCAGGCCTTACTTTGCCTGGTCAAAAGTTAAGGCATCTGCGTTTAGGCAGGAGTATTCCTATCTACCCCTAAGAATCCACACAGTGTTTTCCAGTAATGCTCAGGAGTTGTGATTGGAATTGGCTATGTTTTACACTAATCTTTGAGGTGAAATGCCTCTGCTGTTTCACTTGCTTCATGAGAACTCTTGGTGAAAGATGTACAGATGTCTTCCTGCTTCTGTGGGATGACACTGCAAACTCCTTTGCTGCAATCCCTTGCCACTTTCATTTCACATGTGAAAACGTGATGGTGAGACTTTCATGTCAAGACAGAGTGCATCCTATAATGTTTCTACTGGAAGGCCATTCATGATCTTATTTATGTCCAAGGCTAATATTATCATGGAATCTTGACGCAATATTAAAATTACACCTAAACCATTTCTGCAGTGTTTAAGAGATCTTTCACCTCCCTACAAGAATTGGAAAGCAGTAGGCAACGATATAGAGATACTTCTACTGCTTTGTGAAGGGTCTGCACATACTGGTGAATATGTCAGTTCAGCATGCATCCTTTTTGCCTTAGCACATGAGATCATCCTTGCATCCTGTCTGCTTCATACCCACAGCCCTTGGAGTGTATTGGGGATTGTGCCTTATTGTTTCTCCAAATACCCATGGAGACTGGAACAGCATTATTAGCCTGCCACAGAAGATTAGTCAATACTGAGTTGTTAATGCTTCCAGGGACTTCCTTGATATTTATCCTTCAAATGGAAGGGTTGGATGTCTGGTGGTGTGTATCAAGGTTTGGAACACCTCTGCTTTTGTGAAAGTCACCAGAATGTTCTACAGCAGAAATTCAACTTTATAAGCTGTAATGGCTCTCACATGTGTCAATATGTAGATAGGAATATTAGTAGGAACGGAGAAGATAAACTCTTACACTAAGAAACAGGAAAGTTATATTCTACAGGGAAATGGGGAACACAGTGCTGGCAGGGCAGATGACTCTGTAACTGCGGGCAGTGAAGCTCCTGGAGGCTTGGGAGCTGGTCCCTGGCTGTAGGCAGATGTTGATTTTCGTTATTGGGTAGTGTTACTTACAGCATGTGTTGTAATAATGCATTTTCTGTCTTCCAGATCAGTGTGCGTGTTACCACCATGGATGCTGAGCTGGAGTTTGCCATCCAGCCCAACACTACAGGGAAGCAACTCTTTGATCAGGTAAGTGATGGAGCTGCAGAAGATCTAAAGTTGATACGGGTGTTGTGATTCTATTAAGGCAACAGCAAACAATTTCTGAAGGACTTCAAAGGTGAAGTGACAGTGTGTATAATCACTTCAAGAGAACTCAGCATAGTAAGAAATCACACTTTTTTTTTTTTGGAAAGCAACTGCATTTTTTTATCTCCAAGAATGTGTTAGGAGTTATTCTTACCTCTAATGAACCGAATTGGTGCTATAGCTCATAATAATAATAATTGGAAAGCAGTAGATGTCTGCAGTCATAATTTGTAAGATAAGTCTTATGAGGGAGCTAGCAAGCTATCTTTGGCTGGCTTAGTTGCAAGCATTGTGTAATTGATTTCAAAGAGTAGTTGGTGTCTAAAACAGGAGAGGCTTAGCTGGGTTTCAAATGTTGCTGCAACCCTTAAGTGCAGGTGAAGTGATATTCTATACTCCCATCAGGCCCTGAGGCAAATCTTAAGAGAAGTTATGTACTGTACTGTATTGGGCTGTCTTCATCTGGGCGCTTCAGGCTTCTTCTGCATTCACTGGCTAGGCAAATTTCCTCCTACTTTGGCCCAAACAGAAGCAGGGAGGCATGTGCAGCCCAAAGTTGGAGCAACTGGGGACAGACATTATCAATTGCAGCAGTTGAAACTTTGACAGGCTCCACTCTGTTTCACTTCTGTAGCCCTGAAGGCCATGGATTTGCTACTTGGAGGAAAATCTGAACAGTAAGTTCATAGCTTAAAGAAAAGTAAAATGAATCTTGGATTAATGACAAGATAAAGGAACTGCCAGACCAGATATATCAGATATGGGTGTGGTTCAGTAGTGCTAAGTGTTCTGGGGCCAGCTTTACATAGTACCTATCTTAATGAAGAGAGAAACTTAAGGGCTGACCCACCCATAGAAGTCAGCTATTTAATTTGGGGCCAGCAAACCTAACTTAAAATGTTTTTTAGATGTTTAACCACAAAATACTACTTTCTCTCATAACTCAGCTGCATGATTCAACACTAGATATTATATTGCCGTTTGCAGCCCAGACCCGAAATAGAGGGAATAGAGTGAGATCCTAGACTTTACTAAAAGAGCATCTTTTCATAATGGGAAAACCGGAAAGGCTTTCAGGAAAGTTCTGAGTTGCAGTGTAGTTCTCAGCTGTCAGTGTGTTATTATGCAGTAGCTCCTACTTATTTTAGCCTTGTGTGGTCTCAAATCTGACAGTTTTTGACTGATAGAAATGGGAGCTGGATTCTGTCCAGAATCTGTGTGTGCAACACGGAACTCCACTGCAGTTAGTTCATGGCAGCATATGCCAATGAAGCTGAGGTGACATACCCCCAAGTTCCTCAGAAGGTGAACTGTTTTTTTTTTTTTTTTTTGGAGGGGTGTTCTTCATGTGGATGCTTCCCATGATTATTTTTCAATATCAGGTTTCTGACATTATCCAAGCAAAGAACCAGGTGCTAAGAAGTGATACTATTGAAGTCAGTAGTATTTTTAATCTGCACATGATTTTTTTTTCCTTTTTTTTTTTTTTTTCAGTTGGCTCTAGACCATCTGCAGCTTTTGCTGCAAACTGACATTATGGTGGCAGACTTGGGCTTTAGCTACTCGTCTCTTTTTGAGAAGCATCTGATCATGTTTCCAGTATGGGAACTCTTCATGTCTTAGTAATTGATTTCACTCCTTTGTGTTGTGTTCTCAAACAGCTGCATCATGTTCTCCTTGCAGTGTGTTTCACACAGCACCTGTCTACACAAGTTTTGTTTTGGTTTTTCCATAGCAAACACTTTGCGAAGTGAGAAAACAAATGCTGTTGCAGAGCTAAGTTTCTGAGTTGGTAAACGAGGCAGTGTTTACTTCAATTAAATTGGATTGTAGGTGGAGTTGGAAGGAGAAGTACAGTGGGGAAAAAGGTGTCTGAAGCTAGCTGTTAAACATTTGCTGTTTCTAAAAGTGGACACCATCTCTCTATACTGTCCATATATCATACTTGCTGGAATAAGAATTAAACTGTTTTCTACTGCCTAGTGCACAAGATTACCTTGTGAAGGTAGTGATGTTGGTTCCTGATAGGGCTGTTACTGAAATGAATGTCCTAGAGCTTCACGGGTGGCAGATTTCCAGGCTTTGACTAAATGATCAAAGACCTAGCACAACAGTGCTAGGTGGTGTTTGTGTGGTATCATCACTGTGGTGGTGGTAGAAAGACTAACCCTCTACCAGGGCTTGAGAACATGGTAAGCAGTAAGGTAGGGAGTTGGCAGTAGATGTGGGGATGTCAAAAGTCTTCCACCTCTAACATGAATAAGGAGTCTTGGAAGCTACTGCAATGTGAGTGGTTGAGGAGCCTAATCCCAGCTGCTTGTTGCTGCCCTGCAGTCTAATCGTTGGTCCTTTACAGTTAAGGAAACTAATTGCAAAGGAGGTAGCTATTCAGCTCCTGCCACAATGGGAAACATGTCATCTTGGTCTCTGAATGCAGATACACAACAGACTGTCTGTCCATCTTTTTTATTTTTTTAATGGAAAATTCAAGGCTCTTTTGTATTGCAAAAAACTTTATAGTCAGACTTGCACATAAAGGAAAGCAAGTACTTCTATATGGACATGCTCAAACAGTTTATTGATCTTTGCATAAAGAGCTAACTGCATACTGAACCAAAATATGAGAGCCTCTAGTGCGCTGACAACAAATACTAAACTCTCTCCCTTTAGTATGGGGATGGGGCTTTGAATATGCTGTCAGCTGGCATATATCCAGTGTGTTTCAAATGGCTGTTTGTGTGGATTAGTTCCTGTAAAGGGATAGTCTGGAGCTATTCCCCCTGCTGACATGGGACTAAACAGTGACTGCTGTCTGACTGATAATCTGTTCACTCTATCTCAGTTTCTATCCAGAGGTAGTCTTGGGTCCCATGATGGGGTGTGTAAGAACAAAGTTACGGCCATTCATCTTCTGGCTCTCTTAAACTATGTTGTGCTCCTGGAATTGCTAATCTAGTACTTTCTGCATGATGCTGGTTCTGAAAAAGGAGCTGCTTTCATGAATGCTTTTTTGAGGGAAAGGAGTGTTCCTCTACAAAGCAAACTTACGGTTTTGCTGCTCTAGCACATTGACTTGGTGTGAAACCTGAAGTTTGACTCTTTCACAGAAAAATTTTAAGAGATCCTGCATGTTTTTGCCCTAGAGTGCCCTTTCACTTTGAGCTGTCGGTTCTGATTTAAGCAAAAAGGAAGCTGCTAAGCATTACCAAGGTTTCTAGCTGCACAGCTACCTCGGTGCATGCTGCTGGCTTTGTTCAGTAACATTTAGGCAGTATTTATTTCCACCTTTTGTATATAAAGGTAGATAAATATATTCATGATGCCACACATAATTCTGACCTATTCTGAATAGGATTCAAAAGACTTTTGGAAAGCTTGTATCTAGGTAGTAGCTTCATGAGGAGGAACAGTTTGAGTCTAAAGTTCTATAGTAATAATAGGTGAACGGGCTTGAGGTAGCAATGTTCCTGTCTCCCTCTTTCCTGCTTGGTTAAATTCCAAAGTGAATTTTTGTAGTGTTAGAACAACACAGATGCTTCACTGCTTTGTTGGAAGTAGTTTTCTGCCCCAAAGCAGCTGGATGTAGAAATATTGAGCTGACACACAGTGCAGTAACATCGTGATTTATGCTAGAGATCTTCCTATGACACCCCATCCCCTAGGCTTGTAACTGTACAGCTTTAGCTTAAATAGCTTAAGCTTGTGTGCACAGACAAAACCTGGATTGAGACAGGAGGATTGTACTGTCTGTCTTCTGCAGCTTTGCTTATGTACCTCTTTGCTTATGTACCTCAGCATCAGCTGCTGAGCACCAGTGCATACAGACTCACTAGCAAAAACAGCAACTGTGCTCCCATTCCTCAGCTGCTAGCGATAGATTAAAAGAAGAGCTTGAGAGAAGGGCTATGCCTGTCAGGGGTGCTGCTATCCCATAGGCTTGATTACTTCACAGGTACCTTGTAATACTGCTTTCCTGGGGATGCAGGGCACAGGCACTGCAACAGCAATAGCTGCTTGTTTTAATCATTTGACCCTTTTCTGTATCAGACTGAAGTGCAGTTGGACTGGGGACTTGTGTGTAAAACAAAGTGTTGCTTTACCTTGTGTATCTCCTACATGTGAAAGATTAACCCTTTCTCTGGTAAAACTGCTTAGCTACTTATTGCTATGGATAGCTTTGAAGTTGTGTCCCTTCAATCTTTTTTACTCTCAAACTTCCTTTTGTGGGATAAATTGATTCTAGCTTATGTCAGTGAGATTTTGGCCTGTTGGGGGGGTGAGGGGGACTAGCCTGTACCTTGGACAAGGAGAGAGTTATCTAACTTGCTTAAGTGCTCCATAGCTGGCTGGCTGGAAAGCTTTCACAGAAATGCCCTGGTTTAGTAGATGCTGCACCTTACAGGATCCTCAGGCAGCCTGTGTACAGACTAGTCACAAAATCTTCAACTGCTTTGATTTCTGTGGTATGAAAACATACTCCCTTCTTCCATGTCTCCCACATGCTGTATGAGGCAGCTTCTCAAACACTTCATTTGTGATCACTTTTGACCTTGCATCCTGCTGGTGCCTTGTTCTTTCATTCCCCTTCAGAGCCCCTTATTCCTTCTCGTCTCTGCTGGAGTCTTAGCTGTCTGCTATACTAGGTCTGTTGGGTGGTGAATGCAGTTGATGGGTGGGGATCTCTACCCATTTGATAGGCCTACTTACATCAGGATCTTGTTTTTAACAATGAGTTGTGGTTACTAAACTCTTCAGTCACTACTTCCTTCCCCAACCTAAAATGAACTCTATTTCTCCAGCTTCAGGACAGATTTGCTTCTCAGTGATGTGCTTAGTGCTCTTTGAGCCTATAGCTGACCATGTAAACTTCAGTCCTTCCAATGCTAGCTTTTGAACATTGCAAAGTCCAGGAGATGGTGGCTTCAGCATGCCACTCCAAAATAAGCCTTTAGAGTAACCAAAGCACCCAGTCTCATTAATTGGACAGAGATCACCTTTAAGAGCCATGAAGCCAAGTCACAGGTTAAGGAGAAATGAGACATTGGAAAAACTTTAGTATCTGTCACTTCAGACTTTGAAAGCATGTGGTTAACCTTCGTAGGAGGCTTTTCCTCAGTTTCATGAGCTTTTGGGGTCAAAACTAAGCTTGTAACAGAAAAGTACAGTCAGGTATGGGTTAAAATTGTAACAGTAAGCATCTCTCTGCTCTCTCTAAACCTAGTCACTGATGCTGTGTTTTATGTTCAGCACTGAGCCTAATACATAGTGGAGTGTGGGGCTATTTTTTTTTTTTCTTAATCTTGAGGATCCTACAAATTTCATTAAGAGCCAGAGCTGCTAAGATTCTGAGTTTATGTGCTCTGCCCTGGCTTGCTTATCTGCTGCAGTGAGTTTAGTCATTCTGTTGAGTACCAATTTCAGTCTCTTCTTTCATGGTTGCTAAAGCTTACAACACAGGCTGACCGAATTGCACTCAACTTGTGAGTAACTCCAGCTGAATTGAGCTATGTTTGGAATAAATGTGGATGGTCTCTCATGGCCTGTAAACTAAGCTTTGAGAGGAGAGAGACTGTAGAGAAGCTTTTAGCCTTGGTAAGGTCCTACCTAGTAGTGTTTGAAGACATAGGAAACTGGTCTGGGGCACTTGATCCAGTAGATGAAAGCACTGAACTGAAAACTCGCTATAGCAGTTTCATGGTAGAAAGCAGCAAGTCTTGGGACAGTGGCCGATTCCTCCAAACTCCAGAAGTCTTGTTTGTGTAATGAAGGCTTGTGGTTGAGTGGTATGGAAATGGGTCTTGAATTTCACAGGAACATGTGGAAACTTACTGGCTTTTATAAAAGCAGTAGTCTGACCAAAAATGGACTGCTTGTTGCTAAGGAGATCGATGGCAAACTGTAATAAGCTTAAAAACTCAAAGATCATCCTGTCATTTAGCACTTTGGCATTTTAGCACTTTGAAAGGGAAAGTTAGGAATGTATCCATCAGCCAAATGGAAGGGGAACAGTTGAGTATTTATGGCTGTAGATGGAGCCCACGTTGGGTGTTGGGTACCTGGAAGACCATGTTTTAAGTTGTTTTTGGCTATGGCATGTGAAACTGTAGGTGTGGTACCAGTTCAGAGCTCATCCAGCAATAAGGTTTGCTAGCAGTTTTCTCTCAGAAGTACTTGACATGCCTGTCATAGCAAGGGAGAGAGGCCCACTTCATGTTTAATGACGACAGCACGTGAGATTCAAGACAGATTTGTGCTGTGGTACAGCCTGGGATGCTTTGGCCTTTGGCACAGGAACTTGCTCTGAGTGGAATGTCTTCTCTGCTGGAATGCTTTGGTCTTACCCATGTGTAGATAGTGCTTTCATGCAGGATCTGCACTTGTTTGCCAGTGTGGTGGTGTATTTTCCTGGGCTGAGAATGAGGGCAATCTTCAATCGTCATCTTGATGCTAAAATCTACATTTAAGGGGCTGCCTATGGCTCTCCTTCTGCTGTGGAGCAGGACTCAATGGCAAGAACATAGTTTGGAGGGAGATGGGTGAGTGCTGAGGGGAAGGACAGGAGGAGTCATGCAGACCTGGAAAATGTGGAATAAGGAGAAGTGAGAGAAAAGGTTACCTGGAAGACCTTGTGTTTCTTCTCTGAATGTTATTAAAAAAAAAAAAAAAAAAAAAATTGTACTACTGTGTGCTTACTTAGACTGTCTGCAGTGAGAGTCACCAGAAATGCACCTTTTCCCCTGAGGCAGTATTGCTTACTATATGGAATTTTAAGCTAAGGATACCTGATGAAGAACTTTGTCATGGCTAGTCAAGGTACTGTGGGACAGCTGGATTTTAAGGCTGCCTGTAATCTGTTGCCAGTTGTAGACTAAGCCTTGTACTGTGGGCTGAACAAGACCCAGGGACTGACTTAATGTTCTTCCTGGCATGAAGAAAAGACGTCACTGTCTAGCCAAGAGTGTAAACTTCAGGTAGTTAGGTATAGTGGCCTGGGTTAAACAATACTCTGTAGTCTTCTTCTGTCCTGTGTGCCAGCCCTTCTCCATCCTCGGCCACTGCCAGTAAATGTTTGCTTTTTGGAACATCTCGCAGCTCATCAGGGCTCTGAATGCTGTACACCCGCAAACATAATTGGGCTGCTAACTGCCAGCCAAGACTCCTTGCAGCTGTAGAAAGCTGTTTCTTCTTCATGCTTTTTCCCTTGCTAACTGGAACTAAACCTGTGAAAGCTGAGGCAGGAAGGAGGGATTAGGACTATCTTTTTTCCCCCTTGCCCCCCCCATGCAATAGCAGCTTGGGGTGTGATGTTGTGTGCTGTGCCGTCTCCCCCCTCTCCTCTGTCCAGTCCGTTGTTGTCACTGCTATTGCTGTGCAGACTTCTGCTGTGGAATAAAAGTCCTTTTGTGCAGGGCCTCAGTGTGATGCCGTTCAGTTCCTTGCTGGCAGTCCAGCTTGTTGAATTTCCAGGCATAAGCTGCTGACAAATGGAAGTGAGGCAAGCAGACACATACAGCAGAGGGGGGAGCTTCCATCCCATTCAAATGTTAATGTTACCAAGAACAGAGCTTTCCTTAGGCTCTAGGACAGCCTTTCTTTCTCTCCTTGTACCACGTGCTTTCAATGCATACAGCAAACTCTGATTCTTCTCAGAAAGTCCCCTTGGCTGTGTGCATCCTACTATGTGATATGCACGAGTGCGGGTTTATCTGCCCCATGTTCCCCTGTGTTTACAGGGGCTTTAGGCCAGGTTTCTAGTTCATGTTCAAGCAAGGACAGGCTGAATAATTTCAGGGACTCCAGTGGGATGATGTATATAGACTATGTGGCCGTGTGTAGGTTTTGTCTCTGTGTGCTGCTAATAGCATGCCTCTGCTGAAAGCTCCCTTTGGTTTTTGGGTCTGAAAGGAGCTAGCGCCCTAATGCTGCTTTTGTAAGGCCAGAAGAAATGTCTGATCCAAGCCCTAAAGAATCTAACTGGTACTGTGTTTGCAGGGAACCTACGTCCTTGGTGGTGTATCTTGCCAAAGCTAGAGACCACATCGGAAGGGAACAGAGTGCATCCTTAGGATTCAACAAGGAAGTAATTTAAAAGGAAGTAGGCATTTAGGGAGAAATCGTACAACATGGGACAAAGCAGTACAAAGTTACCTCAACTTACCTGACAGGGTGGATACCATGATCAGGCAGCTGGATTTCCTAGGGTGAGGCTCATCCAGGTGTTGAGTATGTCTCTGAAGGAGCAAGCCCGAGGGGTGGGTGGTGTGTAAAGGCAGCTTAGTGTTGTACTTCAGGTACAGTGTCCACCCAAAGACAAGTGTCTTCTCCCTTCCCCTTCCTCGTCTAGTAATGGAGGTGACAACTAAGTGCCTTGTTTGCCGGTATGCAAACAACTCCTGGGGGTTCAGGAGAGATGTGGCGGAACTTCAGTTTCTAGATTTGCTGGACCCTATGGCATGTCCCAGACTTGCGAGGGCACAAAGCTGTGGCCTCCTGCTAGTGAACAGGCTTTACCAAGAAGCTTCCGCCCCTCCTTTTACCAGCAGTAGCATTATACCGCAGTAGTCTTGCCCCCCCATGAGGCTCTTGGCTCATGTTACAGTATGTCTTTAAAGCCCTCTTAACTCTTATTTACATAGCACCCATGGTGTGTTAGGGAAATGACCAAGGAGAGAGCTTACATAGCTGTGTAGTTAATTTCTGTGACGGCTCTTTGTCCTGGCACAAGGGATGGCATATCGATTTACCTACTGCAGTACCTCTTACCGGTGCCACTCATTAAAGAACTGCGTGAAGGCCCTGTCCTCAGCTATTGGTGGAGTAGAACACAAATCTTAAAATAGCACAACCTAGCAGGGTGATTCATGGCTTGCCCAGGAGTGGTACATTTGCATGATAAGTGAGGGGTGTACCTGAAAATGGAGCTGCATTTTTGATTCCTGGCAGCTATTACACCTGTCAGACCTGTTGCATCGTATTTTGGCTATACATGTTGGCTCATAAGTAGCTGAAGAAGATAGTGTCCCAGCTGTTGTTCATAAATAGCAACAAGCCTTAAAAGAGATGAGGGAGAGAGAAGAATATATCTCCCACTTAAGACCCCCTCAGATGCCCTAAGACCTATGTACGTGCACCATAGCAGGGGAGGCAGAAGGCTAGGGCACTGGTTGTCTTTGTGTTCAGCTGAACTTACCTCTAACATGTTCTCTTGTACCAGTGAGATCAGCCCGTCTGGCTGGGGCATTTGCTAATCATCTTTCTTCCAGGTCGTCAAGACAATTGGTCTAAGAGAGGTCTGGTTTTTTGGACTTCAGTATCAGGACACCAAGGGCTTCTCAACATGGCTGAAATTGAACAAAAAGGTATGTTTGCTCAAAGTGTTTCACTTGTCCTGGGTTCCCTTCTCTTGGAGGGCAGGGGCAAATTCAGTCTCCATACTTCTGTCAGGGATCTGTTCTTGCCTCTCCACACACCTGAAATACTGCAAGATTAGTGAGTTGGTGTTGCCTTCCTTCAGTACACAGACCCCCTCCCCAGGGTACAAGGAGTCACGGTGTCTGACCTTGTCCTCCTGCATCTGGTCCTGTTTGTTATCCAGGCAGATCTGTTACCCTTCCTGGTAACACGCTAATGTGGTGCTCATGAGTATCTTGGTTGGAGAGAAACCCGGAAAGTAGCTTACCTAACACTGATCATAACCAGTGGCTTGTGATACCTCCTGTGAGGAGAGGTGATGAGGTATTTAGCATTAAGGAATGGAAAATCCTTGCTCTTCTGCCCACTCACTTCTGCATTGGAAAGAATAACTTTTTTCTAATGCATGCTTGTCCTCCTGTTCATAAACCTGCTCCCCTTCACTTGGTATGTAGGCTATAAAATCTGATAACTCTGTTCCAGGTAACAGCACAAGATGTACGTAAAGAAAGCCCCTTGCTTTTCAAATTCCGTGCCAAGTTCTACCCAGAGGATGTGGCAGAAGAGCTGATCCAGGACATCACGCAGCGCCTTTTCTTCCTCCAAGTGAAGGAGGCAATTCTGAATGATGACATTTATTGCCCTCCAGAAACAGCTGTCCTTCTGGCTTCTTATGCTGTCCAGTCAAAATATGGAGACTTCAACAAAGAGGTGCACAAATCAGGCTACCTTGCCAGTGACAAACTGCTCCCACAGAGGTAAGTGAACCTGGGTAGTCTTACACCTTTGCCTTAAAGGGTTTGGGATTTTTTTGGGGGGGTGGGGTGGTGATTGGATAGTTCAGAATAAAATACAGCCTGGTGCCTCTGAGGACTGGGGTTAGTATTCATTTAATTAAGAGCTTTAATCTTAAACATCCTATTGCTACTGAAGAAACTCTTATCAGAAGTAGTGAGAGAAGCTCCAAACCAAAAAAATGTAATGCTCCAAGGAGAAGCATAACTGAATACAACTTGTCATTTCTCAGAATACTGACTGCTGTGTCTCTAGGGAGCCTTGTAATAAAACTGTATTTCCTGGAATATTTTTGTGGCGTAACTGTGATGCCAATGGAATATTTATTGAAGTGTTAATCAAGAGTGATGTGACTGTGTGCGCACAAATGCAGTGGCTGGTCTCAGACATCCCATGTACTTTTTCTAGAGTTCTGGAGCAGCACAAGCTTAACAAGGACCAGTGGGAAGAGAGGATCCAGGTGTGGCATGAGGAACATCGAGGAATGATTAGGTAACTGATGCAGTGTGAAACTGCTGTATTTAAAGTAGTGTGATATATGCTAGTGTGTAATGTATGAATGCATACAAAAAATCTGTGGCTTGCTTCAGGATGAGTTAGCATTCTTGAGGTTATTCTGCTCAGACTAACTAGGTTCACGTGCCTCTGCTCTTCCTAGTCCACGTCAGCTGGCTGTTCTTAGTAAAACTAAACTGAGCTTGCGGAGTGAGTTTGTTATTTTCTACTAGGGTGATGCTTGGAACCTTTGCCAGCTTGTTGCTGCTCTGCCCATGTAGAAGACAGCACCTTCTTGCTCTGATGGTTTATAGACTCAAAAAGGAATATCTGCTTTCTTTTTGCACGTTGCAGAGAAGATGCTGTCTTGGAGTACCTGAAAATTGCACAGGATCTGGAAATGTATGGTGTGAACTACTTCAACATTAAGAACAAGAAGGGGTCTGAACTCTGGCTAGGTGTAGATGCTCTTGGACTCAACATTTATGAGCAGAATGACAGGTAATAAACCTCCTGTCCTCATCATTACCTTCAGCTCCTTTCCAGTGTAAAGGTGTTCAAAATTAATCTTTTCTGTAATTCAAGTCTTTAAACTCTACAATTTCTGTATCATTCTTGGCTGTGTTTTTGACACTGCCAGAATAATCCATTAAACATGCTGCTTGGGACCAAAAAAAGACAAGAAATTGGCAAATCTTATCAGGCTAGTTTTAGTTGTATCCCTAGTCTTCCTGCCACAGATGCATTCTCCAGTTCTATTTTCCATTTTAAAAAAAAAAGTGGGATTGAAAAACTATTTCTTATGTTTGTAGTTCGTTTGCATGACTAATTTTGTTGGCTGATTCCAGTCAACATAGGAGTACTGAAATATGAGGTCAAATTTGGTAGTATTTTGAGCTATATATTGTAAGTCAAGAATTTGGAATGACTTGGGGCTTTTTTATTTCCTTCTGCTTTCTATTTCTGCAGGCTAACACCAAAAATTGGATTCCCTTGGAGTGAGATCAGAAATATCTCATTCAATGACAAGAAATTTGTTATCAAGCCTATTGACAAGAAAGCACCAGTAAGAAGCAACATTCAAATTAAACTTTTGGCTTCTTAGCTGAATGATCTTTTTTTTTTTTTTAATTGCACACAATCTTTTCATCACTAATGTCAACGCTGATTTAAGGAGTGCTCTACTACCTGATCTGTTCAGGGCACTATGCACAGAATGGGTCTAATGGCAGTAAGGTGATAGTTGGGATTTTTTTCTGGCTAGGAGGGTAGAAATTAATTCAGTATAACCTCAAGCTGTTGAAGGTCAGTAGAAGGGAGAAGCTCTGCTTAGGGTTTCTGATTCTCCTAAGACTGTTCAGATTCTCTGATAATACAATTAGGGATCTGAGGCACCTATGTTAACTGTGAATGCTTCCTTTGCAGCCTGTTGGCTTTAATAGTGTGTGGGATGGTCTTTTACAGTTTTTCACCTTACTTGAAGCTGAAGCTTCAGGTTGTTTTGTAGGGTATGCTGGAAAGGTTTTTTTCCTTGCAGATTTATAATGAATGTAATTGGTTTAATCTTTAAGGCTTATTAATTTCCTGTGTCAGCTGATACCTTCTGTTCTTATGGTCATTCTTGTTACACTGCTGCTTGGAAGCATTTCCCTGCTGCTGTTGCTCCCTTTTAACAGAACAAAGTTATTTATCCATTGGAAATAATGTTTAACACGCTTTATGGCATAAGACAAAACATTACACTCGATGTGGCTGGCCAGACTATTGCATTAAATAACTAAGTGGGGAGAAAGGTGGGAGAAAGTCATAGTCTCAGTGTATCTGGTGAACCAGCCCCTGATGGTGTTTGTAACAAAACAGTGAAGCTAAGTTGCTGTGTAGTCTATGTGCTAGTGATGCTTTACAATGAAATGCAGAACACTGTAACAACAAGTTGGGTACTTCTGCCCTGTGTGTGTTTGTCAGATTGAAATTCATTCCTGAAAGATAGGTGTCTAACTACCACTGCTGATGAATTAGACATTGTTAAGAAAAGCAAGCTAACAATTCTAGAATGCTTAGGGTCTTGTAGTGTATTGCATACACGGGGGGCTTCTTATGCTGAAAGAACAGGTCTAATACTGCCTTTTTCTTGTCCCAAGGACTTTGTATTCTATGCCCCTCGGTTACGGATTAACAAACGAATCTTGGCACTTTGCATGGGGAACCATGAGCTCTACATGCGCAGACGTAAACCAGATACCATTGAGGTGCAGCAGATGAAGGCACAGGCTCGGGAAGAGAAGCATCAGAAACAGATGGAGAGGTTGGTAGGGTTCTGAGTAACCTGGACTTGGTCAGTTGCTGCACGATAGCATCACGTGCTAGATAAATTGCTGGCAGCACCTTAATCTGCTTGAGCCAAAAATAGAGCAGACTGCTTTCTGCTTCGCTAGATCTAATGGGATGAATGACATTCATCACAAATGTGACCCACCAGCACTTTCTTAAAGATTTGTCTGTCTATTTGACGGGACTAATATGCATCCTGATATAAGGAGATTTCCCTTATAACATTGCTATTATGAACTTGCCATTGAGAGGAATGCCAGCAGAGCTTTTTCTTTCTGCATTTCAATAAAGGGGTGTGTCTGGAGTAAAACTCATCAGCTGAGTGTTGTAGTGCACATCTCTTCTGTGCTCATGGCTTTACTGGGAAGCACTCCAATCTGAGCAGGTGTTAATTTGAAATGGTGTTATGACTTCCCCCTCATCAGAGCCCTGCTGGAGAATGAGAAGAAGAAGAGAGAGTTGGCAGAAAAGGAGAAGGAGAAGATTGAGCGTGAGAAGGAGGAGCTAATGGAGAGACTCAAGCAAATTGAGGAGCAAACCAAGAAAGCTCAGCAAGGTAATATGAAATGTTCCAGTATTTCCTTAGATGTATAGTATGAGTGAGAAGGGTTCAAGCAGTAAAGCTATGAGCATCTCTGAGCCATTTGGCTCTCCAGTATTGTATGCTAACTGGTGTTAGGGCCCTGGTTTAGCCTTCTGAAGCTGACTGTAAGCTTCCATATGCAGCTGCTGAAATAGGACTTGCATTAAAGGGATGGATGGCAGCCAAGATGCCCCTCTGGCAGTGAGAGTACCTTGCAGATGTTCATGTGCTGGCTGGAAGCTTTATCCCAGCACATCAGAAGAGGGTGGAGTCAGTGTAGCACGGGTCACACCAGCCAGTACTCTGATGTGATTACTGTCTAATTGCTTGGCCAGTGTTAGTGTGGTGTTGCCCAAGCAAAATGCTGTATGCTTCTCTGCCTTTGAGGATGTCATTTTGGGGTGGGTACTTCCCCACAAATCAGTTGGGCAAGTAATCTGTTAGCTTGGAACAGGCCTGGCTCTTAGTCTTCCAGCTCTAGTTACAATGTGAAGGAGAGAAAAGGGGACAGTTACTTGCATCTCTCCTTTACCTGTCCCTCTGAAGGAAAACCCTTATCCAGAATGTAGGTGTAATGGCACCTTCCTCCTCTTCTGCCGTTCTTTATCTCTCTTCGAATGCTCTCCCCTGTTCTTTCAGAACTGGAAGAACAGACTCGCAGAGCTATGGAGCTGGAACAGGAGAGAAAACGAGCTCAGGAGGAAGCAGAGAAACTGGCTAAAGAACGTAGAGAAGCAGAAGAGGCAAAGGAGGCCCTATTGAAAGCATCCCATGATCAACAAAAGACCCAGGAACAGCTGGTAAGTGGGTGAGCTGAAAACTGGGTAGGGAAAATAGTGATAGGGTAGGCATCTAAGGTCTTGAAGCAAACCAGGCTATGAATATAGTGAGGAAGCATAGTTTGCTTCTTTGGTTTTTTTTCAGCCTCAAGCAGATGAACTTATATCTAAATACAAGTGTATTTGTACAGTAGATCTGGACTTCTGTGCTTTTTGCCTTTTTTTCATATGTGACGCTGGGAACAGAGTGTAGAGCTCACTGATTGCTTTCCCTGGTTTGGATTCAAAGAACTGAGTTCTGTAGCATTATTTGGAGGAGAAGAAAAAAAACAAAACCCACAGCAAAACCTGAAACTCTTTTGGCTTCCTTTTCCCTTGCATCATGGAGATATTGGTGGGACTGAAGTTTACAGGAAGGCTTTCTCCTTATCAAAAAGATGTTAGAAATACTGTTTTCATTCAGGACTTAGACTAAATGCTTAATTTAGCAAGTACTTTGGTTTTGTCCCCACTAAAAGCCTTTCTTTTGCAGGCTGCTGAGATGGCAGAACTCACAGCTAGGATCACGCAGCTGGAGCTGGCCAGGCAGAAGAAAGAGAGTGAAGCCCAGGAGTGGCAACAGAAGGTAAAGCAGAATCTGAACAAATGGCAGTACTTTTTGTGGAGTTGTTCTCATTCTGTGTTGTGACCTAAACTACTGCACTAGATACCACACTAGACTGAGTGTCTGCAAGCTTGAGGCTGTTGTAAATACCCATCCTTGCTTTTCTTGGTGGAATGAGTGCCTTATTCTAACTCTATGTAGAAATATGTTGACTAATTAGGCCTAAAGCCCATTTTCCCTGTATTAGAATCATTCTGAAAATCTCTGCTCTGAAGCCAGCAGAAAGTGTTGCAAATGATTGTGGCTGAGTAGCTTTGGAACATGCCCCTTCAGTGTGCAAGAGGTGCAAGCTTTCCTGTAATAAGCGCTGAGTAGCATTTCTGTGCACTTCTGCGAAGTCACATGCACTCAGGATTATATTGACTAACTCACTGTGGCATGCCCTACTGCAGGCACAGATGGTGCAGGAGGACCTAGAAAAGACCAAAGAGGAGTTGAAGACTGCTATGAGCACCCCTCATGTCACTGAGCCCATGCACTCTGAGAATGAGCATGATGATGAGCAGGATGAGAATGCAGCAGAAGCCAGTGCTGAGCTACGATCAGAGGCCACCATCAAGGACCGCAGTGAGGAGCAGCGCACCACTGAAGCAGAGAAGAACGAACGGGTCCAGAAACACTTGAAGGTAAGAAGCTGGCAGCAGAGAGGGTGTGTGTCTGGGTGCTGCTTCTATTCTTCTTGCCATTAATTGCAGCTGGGAGGTATTACTGGTATCTTTAAAAAAAACAAAGGGCGTGGGGAAGAGAGGTGATCGTGATCTTGCCAGATAGCTGTGTAAAACCATTGAGCAGAGAGGCAGATCTTGTCTCCTGGCACTTGACTTCCATTTCACTGAAAGTGGTAAAGTATTTTCAAGCAGTGCCAAAAAGCAGCATCTGTCAGACATAGTGTGCTTATGTGACTCTTGCCAGCCATCTGACAGATGTTCATAGCCCTGGCTGCAATGAATCAGAGAACTTGGTCCAGTTCCTATCAAGCAGCTGTCTGTAACTGTCTTGTCTGACTGGGTTGTGTTGCAAAACTCTGAGAGCAGCCCACTAGGGCTCAGCATAGAGGGAATAGTGCTGCACCACCTTTTCATAAGGAACTCCAGTCTTCTGGTGTTGACTCTGTCCAAGCATTTTGTTACACTGCCTGCTAGCTGCCTGTTTTGCATCGTGCTTTGTTTGTTCTGCATCATGCTGTGGTGGTTATACACAGGCAGAGTGACAAAGGTGTACTTTATCTTCTGCAGCGAGTTTCTTTTGTGGTAGAAGGCTAGTAATTGCTCAAATTCTGCTCCTGTTGTCTTTAGGGATCGTTCCACTTGACTCTTCTTCTGAAGTACATTGGAGATAGTCTTTCATACTGTGCTAGACAAAGATGAATAGGGTGACAGACTGCCTGATGTTTTCTACTTTTAAATGTTATGGAAAAATATTAACAACTTCCACAGAATCACAGAATTACCTAGGTTGGAAGGGACCTGTTAAGATCATCTAGTCCTACTTCCTTGCTCAAGCAGGGTCAGCTACAGCAGGTTGCCCAGAACTGTAAATATTAGGGCTTATCTGTTTCCTGTCTCCATGGACGTTGAATCTTTAGGAGGATCAGCAAGGAACCTCCTTGTCCAGCTTTGAGTCTCTGGCATGCGCTAACCCATTGCTATCTGTTTCCCCTTCTCTGAAGGCTCTTTCCTCAGAGCTGGCAAATGCTCGGGATGAAACCAAGAAGACAGCCAATGATATGATCCACGCTGAGAACATGCGTCTAGGCCGAGACAAGTACAAGACCCTCCGTCAGATTCGGCAGGGCAACACCAAGCAGCGCATTGATGAGTTTGAGTCTATGTAAACTCTCCCCTGCACCTGCTGCCCTGCACTCTCTTCTCCTCTCTTTCCCATCCTCTCCCGTCATTCACTCGTAATCGTGCTACGCTGGAACCACTACAGAAGAGTGACCATGGTCTTATTTATGGAGTTCTGGGCAAATGCTGGAGTTAAGCGACAGAAGAAAGAATAGTATTTACATCTTCCTGGGGTGGCTTGGGAAAGCAAATGTGTACTGGGGCAAATCTGAAATTGTTTGGCTTTGGGGGTAGTCTCACTGCATTTAGTTTTTTATTGCTTACTGAAGTGGCTGTGTTGCTGTCCTCTCCTGTTGCGTGGGGAGGCCAGCAGATACTTTTACTGAATTATGTAAAGTGCTAACAGTTTGACACTGTGCCTTCCTACTAACTTGCACAAGCTTCAGTATTAAGCTTAGAAGCCAGGGTCTGAATTTCTGACTTAATACAGGGTCTGAGTCATGTAGTTGAGAAGGGGAGGCTGGAGCCTAGGAAGAAGGGTTGGAGGTAGAATATGGACTTTCTTTGTAAAAGATTAAAGCTTTTGTCCTTCAAACATAAGCAGACCAAACAGATTCTGTGGCATTCCTGCTGGTGTTACCTTCTGTTGTTTAATGATGGAACTTTGAATTTCCTAATTATGAGGAAGCATTTGGATTTTTTCCAGTGATGCAGTGTGGTTTGGAGCCTTGACTTCCCTGCTTTCCAGAAGTTTTGTCTCTGGTAAATGGCTTTGTTCACTGTCACTTGTCTGACTTGAATGTGACCAGTGAGGCAGAGATAGCTAAAGAACACTGCCTTCCTTCTTGGGTTTGCCAGTGGAAGCCTAAAGGGGTAGGTAGAAACGTAAAAGACTAAAAATTCCTGTAGCCGTATTTTTCCCTTGCTGAACCAGTACATTTCTAGTCATGTGAACAGGATTTCAGGTTTTTCCATAAGAGGCCTTTTAAGCACATAGTCATTGGTGCCTTATGACTGTGTATAGATCTACTGTAGCTCAGACGTCTTTAGTTTAAACTAGATGCAATCAAAAAAGTCGTCAGTAGCTGTGGACCAAAAACTATTCTGTACAAGACTGCATCTCTCTCTTCCTGGCTTCAAGCAGCGTTTGAGGGGAGAGGATCCTGAGATATTTGTCCAATTGCTGCCTTAATCCTCACTAGCATTCTGCCAGATCCCTGGCTCAAGTGCTTTTCCTTCCCCAGAAGGATGCTTTGCCCCTTTGTAGCTTTGAGAACAGAAGGCTCTGTCTCTTAGAAATGGGACACTAGTGGTTCTGAGACTGGTCCTGAGAGCTGTTTGTACCAGTTGTTGTAATACCCACCACCTCCTGTCTTCCAAGCTACCCATGCTGTAGCTACCCAGAATCCTTCCTGCCATTTCTGGGGAGGAAACAGCCATGTATGCTCAGGGTTGAATTGGATTTTGCCTTTTTCCTTCATAGAAGGAAATGTTAACCTTCAGAAGATGTCTCTTAAAAATGGATTCCACCTACAATGGAGTCCTGCTTTGCTTTGCCCTCCTTGAATAGCCTGTCCCTATAGGAAGTCATCAAGCTAGCCTATGATTTATTTTCTTGCCTAGCATGATCCTAAATCTTGTGACTTTCTCAGTTTTGTGGATTCCCCCTTCTTATGGTATCACTGCTAGTGGTCATAGAAGGATAACCTCTGAATGCTAGAGCGTTTTCAGCTCCCTGCTCTATGGGAAAGGTAAAGGGGGACTGTGCCAAAAAGAATGTTCATGATAGTGTTAATAAACTGCAGTATTTCACCAAGAATTCATTGGGCCACTGGAAACAACCTTACCAGTGCTGTATTATTTTATTTCTTGGAAGCAATACAAGTCTGTGTGGAGATCCACACAAGTACCAACCTCTGTTAGGAGCATAGCTTAGCGTGTTGCTTCTATACATCCAGATAAGTCATGTGAGAGTCCCTTTCTTTCCCTTGAACACAGCATGCTTTTGGGGGACACACAACATGGTAAGCTTTTGCTTGGCCAAAAACACATGCTGCAGTACTTCAGAAGTCACAAATGAAAGATTGCAGTTAAATTTGTCAGAAGTGATTTGCATATTTCTATACTGAAGGGTTATTGGCACTGGCTCTACGTGAGTCTCATTACTGGGGGAACAGACAACCCTTACACTTCTGTTTGGTGCTTTAAAGCTGGTTCTCGGCATTCTGCTCTGTCCATGGCAACTATTGATGCATTTGGAGGGAGAAAAGCCTTTACTACATTTTACAAATTTCCTAACAAGCTGATGTATGGTGCCTGGAATATGTGTTCAAATAATAAACCAGTAAACTTTTTCTGCTTTGATGGGTCACACAACACTGCTGAGCTCATGTATTATGATGCTGGCATGACTTCTGTTTATAGTATTTTTTAATCGTTCTAATTCCAAATGGTCCAATATAGGAATAGAACGGCTTGTGCCAGTGAGTCCACCTAACTCTTTGTAGTTGTTTCAGCCCTGCTGCCTTTTTAACCAGTATTATATTCCAGTGGTATCTAATGATATTTGATTTCAATACTTCTAGCTATGCACAATTAGAAAATATTAGTTATGGGATGGTGGATGTGTTTATGGTCTTCCTTCCCTTGGAAATGTATACTGTATTGTAAAGAAATGATATTTTGCAAGAAAACTAATGTAAGAAGCTTTCAGTATTACAGTGAGATTTGTAGACACATTTTTTATTTGTTAGATTACAGTGAATTGTTCTTCTCCATGTTCCAGTTTAATTGGATAACTACTCCTCTTGAGGGTGGGGGGAGGGAAGTCCTTTAGCAAATTTTTGCTTGGCTTGTTTTTTTCTTGTTTTATTTTTTGTTGCTGTAAATTATGTTGATGTTTTTTGACCAGTCTTTTTACTGGATTATAATAAAACATCAATTCCTTAAGGTTGTGGAGTAATTCATGGGTCCACGTGCTTATCTGCAGAGAGAACCTTGATATTAAGGCATTTTTTTTTTTCCTGTTTGGAGGAGTTGTTAAAATCCATACCCTGTTCTTCATAAAGTGCCAATAAAGTTCGGAGAAATTCAGCAGATGGTGTCTGGCTGGTTATTTAAGGCTTGCTTTGAGTCTAGTGCTGTGTCTCCAAGCTAAACAGGTCTGCCAGTGTGGTTCCTGAGAGGTCAGCCTTGTAGCACTCTTGCAAATAAGGTCTTCCTTGCATACTGAAAAGCAACTGCTTGAATAACATCCCTTTCCCCCTCCCCAGCCCTCCAAGCTGTCTGACTGGAGCCAGTACTGGAATTCACATTTCTTTGTGGAGACACTGAGTATAAATTTATATTGTGTTTAACTTGCAAATGGACTGGTCGAATGGAGGAGGAGGAGCTGCTGTTGGAACTTGCAACCGGTGAGTGCCTGCGGTGCCATGCCCAGGCCCATGTGCATCCACGACCAGGTCAGTGTGCGGAGGGTGGCCGGGCCTTGATGCTGCTTCTTGTCCCGTATGTTCTGCTGAGTCTGTCCTGCCCTGACCCCATACTGGGGATTTCAACCCAATTTGTTTTGCAGCTACCTTGCCGTGGCTATCTCTACCTGTGTTTCCTGAAGTCTCAGGACTGGGTCCAATGAAGGAAGAGTGTTGTTACTGCCAACTTTCTGCTAATGAACTGCGTGATCTTTGTTTGTAGCTGCTTTCTGTGTGGCTGTGAAGAGGGACTTTGTAGAACCTCTGTCTCATGGTTGCTGCGCTGCAGAATAAGGCAGAGATTTCATCAGAATGTGTTAGTGCTTAGAGATCTGGTGCTGGGGGAGACACGTGAACTTGTCTATAAACAAAACGTGAAGTGTGGAGCAATGGAGACTTCTGCCATCCCCACCAGGCTTGGTATGGATCTAGTTTCCATAGGTGGGTCTTGTTCCTTCCTTTCAGGATTCCAAAAACCTGAACACCACTGGAGGAATTGCATGTCTGCATGAACGCTACTGCAGCCTTCAAGTGAAGGTTGCACTGGTCTGGGAAGGTTGCTCTCAAATGGGGTTCTTTCTGCTTTTATTGCTGTTGCTTCTTGATGGATAATACCTTTCAGCTTGTGCTTAAATTTCTGGAGTCTGAGGACTGTGATTGCAGCCAGATAACTCTTCTGCATGAGTGGCCTAGCTTTCTGGCATTCCCTTGCCTGTATCTGTGGAGGTTTAAGAGGCTTAGTAATTCTCCTGTTAGGTATATCTATATTCAGTTTGTCTTTGAAGAAATGGAAGTGCAAAGCATTAATGGCTGAAGGCTGCTTCTGTGCAGGACCATGCAGTAAAGAAAAAAAAAAAATCTGAAACACCTAATTCTTCTAATCTATTGGAAGGTACTTTGTAGTTTAGAATCAGAAATTTGTGTTTAATGTCTAGTTTGTGTGGACAGCTTCTGCTGGATTTGCTATTCTGTCTGCGGTAATGTTTCAGATCCAGTTTAGGCTACACCTACAAGTACTGGGGGCCCAGATGCTTTTGTCTGTGGGACAGACTGGAGCATAAAGGGTCTCAGAAGAGCTGGGGACCAGAAATGCTGTCTTTTTGCAGGTTCTGAAATGTGGCTGTTAAGCAGTGCAACTTACTAAGAACTCTAAAGAAAAGCTACAGTAACGCTGTAGAGTCAAGTTTTTCTTGAGATAAATCTGTCTGGTGGGCTAATGCATTTGGCCTAGGATACTTTGTCCTCCTACTCAGAGTCAGTGCAGCTGTAGAAATAAGGCTGTGATTGCTTTTTCCTTCTCTTGTTTTCATGTTCTAAGGAAGGGAATTGCAGGGGGTTGGTCTGTAAATTCTGATTTGCTTTGATGTAGACAAATCTCATAGAGACTTCTGAGGTAGATGACGAGCTTATCAGTTGCTTGCTCAGGCTAATACATTTGGAGGGAAGCATAGGCATTTTTATTTTTTAAGTGACGTGCTGTGAGATTCTCAATGAACAGATAAACAGGCTTGGTAACCTTCCAGCCACTTCCTTTTTTTCTGTGATGAGCAAAAATGAAACGTGAACATCCTCTGATGCCATGGTTATCAGTTCAGGTCAATTGTGTAGGATACTGTTAGTAACTATGGCAACTTAGTAAGGGAACTAGATTAGACTTTTTGCTTTCTACTTATCAGGGTAGGACTCTGCCTTTTGACAGCACTATCCTCTTGAAATCTGCTTTACGTTATGGAACTAGTAGATAGTCTCTGAGATACCAAACAAGATTTGTTCCCCCCTTTCTCATGTTCACTGGTCCTAGAAGCCACTACTTCTGTCTGTAACCTGGCTTCAGACTTGGTGCATCATGCTGCAGTAGCTCTCCATTAAGTAGCTGCATCTAATACCTGTTTTCCAATATCTTACGAAGCTTGATAATGCAGTATACAGGGTAAGGTATGATAATTGTAGACAGTTGTATGGCAGCTGCTTGAACATCAACAAAGGCATGCCATGTCCCAGTGAGAAAGCAGAGAATAACTGAAGTATGGCTTGTTCGCCCTGTACAATCAGTGTGACTATTTTGGTGAGTGCCAGCTTTGCAGCTATACATAACTCAATCTTGGGCATACAGTCTAATTATCTTATACCAGTGTATAATCAGAGCATGTGATAACTGGCAGCGAACAGCGTAATTCATCTGTGACTGATGTCAACCCATAATTGCTGCATAACCTTACGGAATTTGATTCCATGTGTGATGTTAATGTCTCCCTTGCAGAAAAATTAACTTACCTGTAAGAAAAAGGATCTGGGCCTTGATGCATCAAATGTTAGGCTGAGGCTGACTTCTGTCTTGCAGGTCTGCAGCTCTAATTGAAGTGCAGTTTGTGGACAAGGGTGCAGGTCCTTACAACTGAACAATGTCTAAATGAACATCTAGTGCCAAGTGATGGGTCTCTGAAAGTTACTAGTAGTTTCAAGATGGGCTTTCTCAAGACAGATGGCAGGATGAAGTGGGTATAGGGAAAAGTGGAGGAAAGAATGAGGAGGAGACATTAAGGAAAGAGTAGTGCTGGGACTGCAAAAAGGAATATTGTGAGCTCCTGGAAGGGACTGTACCTCCAACTTCTGTTGAGAATGCACTTGCTCTGAGCAGGTGTAAATACCATTCATACTGCTTTCTGGTGAGCAGAGCTAGTTGGAAAATTACAAACACCTATGATTGCCATTGCCCCATCATCTTTTAAAGAAATACAAGCCAGGGTTGACCTTCAATCATAAAGATTGACTGAAGGGTCAAGGGGATGTGGCATATACTGCTCTTGAACTGGGAGGTTACAGTGAAGGCTGTCTGTACCTCACACGCAGCAGCACTGCCCTCCCATCCATCTCTGAAGCATCCTTGACTGACTGAAGGAGAAGCATCTGTAAGTGAAGGCCTTGGCTGGGCCACTGTAACTTCTTAGTGGCCTTCACCCAGCCAGGCAGCAGCTGCATTGCCAGAGGTGGCTGCTGTCAAGAAGCCCTGTTGTGAATTCAGTTTGTTGCCTTGTTGCAGTATTAGCCTATCTCTGATTATTGCATTACTGCCCTCTTGCTTCCAGTGGTGAAAATCTGGCCCTTGCTCCTTTTGTTTGTAGTGATTCTCAGAAGGTTGCTGAACATCTAGAGAGAGATCAGAGTGGGCAAAAGGTAGTCTTGTTTGAGAGGTGTGGAAACTGAGGCACATTTACAGTCTTCCCCTCCAGCCCCTGTTATCTGAGACTTGAGCACGCTTGATGTAAGCACTTTGTCTGCAGGTTTGTGTTCAGTGCATCTGTTTTGGGGTAGCACTCTGTATCTGGTCCTGTGGTAGTTGATGGGTTTTCATAGTGGCAATAGGGAAGGGGAATTCGAGTTTTGTTCAGTGGCTGTAGTTCTGTGTATGTTAGCAGCCTGTATCTGCTTCCTTACAGGAGTATCTGTGAGGTGGTGGGCTCAGTAGAAGGTAAAGGGTAGGCTGTTCTTACTGTTCAAGTTAAGAACTTCCCACAAACCTGGAGGAGAGCATGGGCCAGTCCTGCTCGCTCCAAACAATAAAGGAGCGAAGACTTCCGTACTGTGGCACAGTGCTGGCCTTGAGCTTTGTCATGACTTGTTGAGCTGCTTGCTCAGTTCCTCCCTCCCCTCTGGACACTTTTCCTTTGGGAGTTCCACTGTTGGGCACCTGGGATTTTATCAAATACTGGTTTGATAAAATGCTCCAGTGTTGGAACAAACAGGTGTTAATTTGCTTGCCTGGATGACACGTGTAATATTTCTGCATATGTTGCAGCTCCTCATGGATAGGGGCCAGGGGGTTTCTGACTTGTGTGTGATTTCTGTCTCTTCCCTCTCCTGCTTTTGTGGCAGCTCTGCTGCAGGACAGGCTGCCTCTCCTGATTCTTCCTGCTCTTTCTGATGCTCCTCCTGCTCCTCTGCAGAGGAACTTCTTCCTCCCTTAATTTATCAAATGTATCAAATCTTGATTCAAATGGTGGTGGACTTATTCTCACAACCCCAGAACTGCAGCATTGCTAAAACTGTATTAATGTCTATATTAATAACTACAGGATTACACAATGATTTTAATCTGCTTTCAGAGAGGCAGCAGACTAACATAATTTTTTAAACCTTACATCTTGGGTCTCTTGTAAGCCCCAAAGCTTACAGAGGAGGTCTTCTGGTCAGAGCTGTTTGCTCAGAGTGTCTTCTGCCCAAAGGAACCGATGCAAGTCTGCCTTGTGCTGACTATGCCTATGTGTTTGCTGAGCCAGCCTATGGAAGGACTGAAACTCTAATGGGGGTCAGAGGAGCTGGGTCTGGTATCTCGGAAGTCTGAGTGTGCTTCTGGCTGTGGAAGGCTGCAATGGTAACGTGTAAGTTCTTGTTGGATCAGTGCAGTGCTGATTCCAATCTGTTTAACTTGCGTAGAAGTCAGGGATGAGGTGGAGTTAATGGTACCTCATAGCTGTTTTGGACATTTGCATGAGAGTCCCTAGACCGGGTGGAGGGGGGGGCAAATTGTCCTTTGTGTGGTGCAGAAGAAACTGGGCAATGTATTTCAAGCTAGAAAACCACTTCCTTCCCAGCATGTGCTAACACGTTGCTAGATGTGTAGGCACAGCCGTTGCACTGACAGCAGTGTGACCTGCTGGGAAGCAAGATGGGGGGATGGTGTGCTGGTGTGCACACTGATGGAAACTTGGCTTCTGCCAAACTTCTGTGAAACAGAGCTAAAGATTCACTTCAGCTGTGTCTGACCTGCCCAAAAAGTGTGTGCTGACCTCCAAAGCAACATTTTGAGGGTTTTGTGTTTTTTTTCAAAGCAAGGATATTTTTGCTTAGCTTTTTTTTTCTTTTTTTTTTTCTTCTGTTGGTTGGGTTTTTGTGGGAGGGGTGGTTATTTGTAAAGCTTCCTATTTTTGTGTCCTGGGTTACATGAACACTGGTTTACTCTGGAAAGGCTGCATTTACTTCTAGGCTTGCTGCTAGATGGAGCAGGGGAGAGGAGGAAAAAGGAGATCTTACTTCTGCCCTTTTCTTCGACCTTAAAACAGGCTATCCAAACTCAGTATGGGGCATTATTCTCTCCTACCCCAGGAGGGTTGTTCCTGCTTTCACCAGAGGACAGTTCTCCACTGCTCTCGCCTCCCTGCAGGACTGGGTGGGTATGATGCTCTCAGACCTGACTTCCCCCTTTGTGTTGGCCCCTCTCCTGGTGGGTGGCATTGACCTGTCACTTGCTGTGCTCTGAGTTCCTGGTAAGGAGAGAGGTCAGTGCCAGGCAAACACACAAACGTCCTTGCTGTGAAAACTGCTGCATATATCTAGTGTATCTCTCAATTCAAGGTTTGCTGGAGAGATAAGATGCTTTGTGGTTTGTTTGGATGTGCTATGGCCCCTTTCCTTGTGTCTCTTATGGCAAGCCTTGCTTTCCTTCTACAGAAATGACTGAGACACAGAACTGGGCTGCCTGCTGCGCCTCTGTAGTGCCTGAAAAGCAAAGGCAGGACTGGGCAGAGTCTCTGAGCTGCAGAGGCTGCACAGAGCAATTTTTAAATTCAGGGGTGAGCTGCAGCCCAAGAATTAGGGTTTGAAGGCCAAAGTATTCAGGGCAGCTTGCAGGAGAGAGCAAACCACGTGGAAAAGCTGACCTGAGAGTGAGGGGCCACAGAGCAGGGACACTGGCCAGAGCTGTGTTCAGCTAAAACAAACCGCTTGCCTCACTGCCAGCCCTCCTTTGTGATAGAAGCAAGCAAGGGTGGGGAGAGAAGCCTTCAAAGGCTATTCTACAAATGATTTGAAATGAGGAATATTTACGTTAACTGGGGCTGAGGGGTGGAATTACAGAGAAGTCCCAGTGATCCTGGACATAGCTGGGCAGTCTGATGTGCACCCATGCCTGCTATGTGGCATGCCTGCTTCAATGATTCGTGACACCCTCCCTGTGCTCACAGAGCTATTGGCCTGAACAAAACCTGAGGGGCAAATTCTGCAGCAGGAGAAAAAAAAAAGCATCTGTGGGACGAGCATGGGCTGGCATGGGGGTGCTGCAAGGCTGTGATTGCTGGTTGCCAAGCCCATCACATATTGAGCTGGGAAGTGTCACCCACCTTCAGCAAGAGGAGCAAGGAGACTTTGATCAGTGATGCCCTGCAAATATGACTCCAAGTTATCTCAGATCACATCCCTCTATAGCAGAGCACTGCATGTTTCTCTTCCATGTGTCCTGTCATCGGAGCAGTAATGCCCAGCCTGCACTTGGCAAATAGGAGTGAGGAGGAATGAAATACTCCTCTGTGCTGCTCTACCAGATGCAAAGTGAACAGAGGGAAGTAGACAGGTGATTTTTAGAAAGGGAATTCCCCCCTAAGAAAAAAAAAAAAGAGTTTTTTTTCTTTTTTAATCCTTTATGCATTGCCCATGAGCTTCTCTCCACTGAAGCTATCTCAGTGGTATGTTTGAATGCTTGGACACTTGCCTTTAAAACTTTATTGGACTGAAGAATATGATTCCACTCCCCCTTTATGGAAAATACTTGCACTCCTTAATGTCTTCGATGCTTTTCTCAGAAAGCTTAAGCATCTCCTTCCAACCTGAAAGCTTTGGGTGGAAAATTTTCATTTGAGAAGTCAAAACTTTCCAGTTATCTTCATACTATGAATCCACTGTGTGTATGTGTGTTGAGGGGAACATTTTCCAGCCAGTTCTCACTCTTACGCTGTAGTTTCTCTCCCCTCTGTGGATTGATTAGAGTCCAGTTTCAAAGGTTTTTGCTTATACCAGCTACTAATATGTTACTACATAAAGCAAACATCCTAGCAAATGGTGAACTGTTAATTTGGTATTAGAGACAGACTCCTGAGATGAGAGCTGTTCTCAAACTCCACAAAAAACAGGAACTGAAACTGTCACTGCTGTTGCATTTTGGTCCTCAGGGGTAAATTGGTTTACCCTGGAAAGGAGTGTAGACTAAACTAGTGACAGTGTTTCTGGGAATAAATTAAAGAGTTTTCTTCTATAGAAGTCTCACTAGTGTGGAGTATCAGTGTGAAATGAATGATGCTTATCTGTGCCTTTTCGGAAGAGAATTTAGCAAATGAGCAAAGTGTGGCTCTTTCTCACCACCACCCTGCGAAGTAAGTGAATATTCACATTTTAGAGCTGGGAGCCTGCAGTATCAGGGAAGGCAATGATGTGACTGGATGACATCCACATCAAGAGCAGAATCTATAAGTCTTACTCTCACCTTGTTGTAAGAACTGGCATGCCCCTCTCTTCCTGAGGCAGCAGCTGTCAGTGCTCCTGCCAGTCTACTCTTCCAGCCCTCAGCTTGCAACCCCTTGTATGATTAGACATTGCAATGAATATTACTCCTGAAAATGGATTTAGGTCTGGTTCCTAAAAGGGAAGTCCGTAAGGCAAAACAAGGCGAGCATTGCTTGGGGACTGGTACGTGGAGATAATGCTCATGTTACCATGCTTCACCCAATTCTCATGCCCGTGCCCTAATGGGCTGGATTGCAGCAAGATCCAAGCATCTGTCCATCCTTCCCTCCTCCCTCCCTCCACCCCCAGGGAGGCTGTCCTAGTTTTTTCTTTTTTTTTCCTTTCTCTTTTTTTCTGCCCTCTCAGCTGTACTTGTAACCCTTAATCTAGCTGGCCTTGCAACAAACAACAGCTCAGGAGAGGCAGAGCAGGAACTTAAGCACCATGATAGCTCAAGGCTTCTCAGGGCTCATGCGACCCTTGCTCAGTGGACTGAGTGTAAGCAAAATTCGCTTTATTTATCTCTGTGGGGTGTCTGAGCAGCATCACCCACCAGCTAAGCAGGGGTCAGAAAGAGGCTTCAGCTCCACGCACAAGCTCCAGGATGCCCCTGGGGAATTGAGGTGAGTAAAATGCTGAACCCTACCTCGCTGTGTCTGGAAGGGACTTTTCAAGAGGGACATGCGCTTACCTCTTCTCCCACAGAAGGAAGAAGAGAGAGGCCAGTGCAGAACATGGCCCGCAGGAGGTGGTGGGTGAGGAAGTGCGGGCTAAGCAGATGCTGACAGGAGGAAGGTGGTGCAGGGAGCCAGGCTGTGAGAGATGCTGCTCCCTGCTTCTGGAGCTGTGGGGGCCACAGCTCATGGCCTGGATACTGAGCATATAGATGATGACATGGCACATGGGGATGGTGAGCAAGGTGTGTTGGACAGCTGGGCCACAAGCCTGCTGTATTCCTGCTGTGCGGAAGCTGGGATGACCACTGGGTTGCTCTGGGAGTTGCAAGTTCTCTTAAGTTTCTTGTCGCTGCCGTTGTAAAGCCGGAGTAGGGAGCTGATGATGTCTGCAGCTCCAGGGAGCAAAATGCTCTCTTTAGGTTATGTGAAGCCACACTGCAAGCTCTCGTGCCTTGTTGGTGTGCCCTTCTTAGGGAGATGGGGAGGTTGGCTCAAGGGCTGCGATGGTGGCTGTAGATGCGAGGGGCTGTACGAGCCCATGGCGCCGGTGCCCTGCTAGGCTCCTGAGCCAGTGACTTGTGCTGGGATTTGCTGAGAGCGCTTGCTCAGGACAGGATGCACAGTTGTCATGGTGGCTGAGTTTGTGAGTTGAACTCTGGTGGAAATTGGTCAGAAGCTTGTGTTTAGAAATGCCTCTAAATGCATTTGGTCCCTGCCAGGGTGGAGGACTCCCAGCTGGTCACCTGAAAGGGCAGGCTTTGGCCTGTTGAGGGGCCTGGTTGACAGAGCCCTTTGGGAGGCAGTCCTGAAGGGCAAAGAAGTGCAGGAAGGGTGGACATCCTTCAAAGATAGAATCGTAAAGGCACAGGAGCCGGCCGTCCCCATGTGCTGAAAGGATGGGGCTGACAGAAGAGAGGCTGCCTGGCACAGAGTACTCATCTGTATTTCTATAGCAGGAACTACTGCAGACTCACTGCCAGTCTTTCCTCTGTTTTTTAGGGATAATTCAGAAGGAGATTGCATTTCTCTGAGCAAAATAAAGGGAATTTGTAGATCTCCTAGACCAGTATGATCTGGGTCAGACTGTAATCTGCTAGACATTGAGAAAAAGACCCAACCAACATCACAGAAAATACGATAAGCCATTTTGCTATCTGACCTTAGAGAAAAGTTATACTGATAACCCTGCTTAATAGGGTTTATGAAGACTTGTTATCAATGGGTTTTCTTTCTAATTGGTTTGTTGCTTATGAAGTTATTTCTGGCAGTACTTGTAGGCATCTTGCTGTTTTGTGTGGCCTTGGAAAGTATCTCTTAGGGAAAAACACTGACAGGGAGATTTTGTTTGAAAGAGAATAATCAGTTGGCATGTGTTGAACTTGCTGTGCTGAGTTTGTCATGTCCTGATAAAATCTTTCTAAAGCTCTGACGGTGTTCCTGTGACAGTAATGCCATTGTAAGATAGTTCAGCCTAAATGAAGCAAAATTAGCCTGATCAATTTTGAGTTGGTTTTAAAATCCTGGTTCAAAATTATTTTCTTAATAAAACATGAAAGGATTTTTTTCATAGTTTCAAAAGATGACTGAACTGAACAGTGAAAACAGGGAGTAATCAGGCTGGGTTTATGCCCTCAGCAGAGGCACCTACACTAAGAACACAGACAAACAACTTAAATTTCCCCTACAGCCAGTGAAGAGAGAGAAGCTGCTTACAGATGCTCTCTATGTTGTGGTCGGGAGCACTTGGCATCATCCCTGCTCTTGAGAAGGGTGAGTTCTGCTGCACCCAGGTTTGTCTGAAGTCATGCAGGGGGTCTGTGGCAATACCATCTGTACTTCCTTATATCTAACTGGGTACCCTGTGTGCAGACCCTGGCTGCAACTCAGCTGTCTCAGGGCTCATTTAACTGGCAGCAAGAGTCAAAGCAGGGCTGTGTCCAGGAGGAGCCACAGAGTACAAATCCTCCTAGTATTGGCGGGAGCCTGGTGCGGGGATCCTCCTGGGAATGATGTCGGCTGAAGCTATAAGTGCCTCAAAGACAACATGAATGAAGTTTTCTGTCAATAATCATCTGTGCAGCTTTGGGGATTGTTGGATCCAGCAGTGTCTGCTTGCAGGCAGCCAGCTCTCATTATCCTGTTGAAGAATGCATTGAGTTGCAGCATTAAGTGAAGTCCTATGACTTTACCATTTCTATTGTGTTACAAATTATTTCACCCATAACTGTAAAACCAACATTGCCAGGAAACCTGCCTATTTGCCATAAAAATGGACTAAATGGGTCTAATCCATCAAAATACGGAGAGGGTTGTTTTGTTTTCTTTTGACATTTGAGAACTAGTCTTTAAATTGCTTATTTACAAAGAAATGTCTGTGGGTGTCTCTATGAAGGAGACTAAAATGTCTTAAAGATGTTCTTTGGCTGTTTGCTTTGGGAAATAGGGTGGCCCTGCTCGGCTGTGCATGACTGCAACATGATCTTTCCATTCTGCACGTGGGAAACTCTTCCCTCTGCCGCATGGTCTCGGTGCTAACTTCACAGCTGTTTTCATAACCAGGGGACCCTGTTGTAGACTAATGGCCCAGGCATTGTTTTCTGCTGAAGCTTTCTGAAAAACAGGAAGCTGGCCTCCTCAGATGAAGGTACAGTGGCCCCTGTATTCTGCTCCTGCTGGCTGAATCAAGATGCAACTGAAAACAAAAGAGTAGAGAAGGCAAAAAATAGTTTCATCTCTTTTTCTGCACTTCCAAATTTTGATGGAATATGGGGGTTGGCTTTCGAAAGAGGTAATTGTTTGGAATTTTCTGCACCTGAAATGTTGCTGATGAAGTCCATATGACAATTGAAGGAACAGCATCCTTAAGAGATGTACTGCAATGACTTGTCAGCAGGTAAATGGGGTTAGATCTAGATGATGATTATGTTTTATGTGAAGCAGAATGAACAAGAGCTGCAAACTTGAAAGAGGAGAACGTTTCTTCCCCCTTTTCCATCACATTTCTACAGGAATTCTTTCCTATCTCCTATTCAGCTGGATACATCCCCCGTACTCCACCTCTGCCTCTTGTGAGTTAAAAAAGAGCAAAGGAAATTGTCTAAACTTGATCCTTATATATTTCTGTGCTTAACATTAAAAGGAAATCAGCAGAGATCTCCACACTCTTCACTTTCATCTGCCACAGAGCAGAGAGGGATGAGCAGACAAGGCAAGTCCAAGTCCTTTCAGCAGCTGGTGTTGCTATCCCAGGGACAATTACCATTTACCCAGTTCCTCCTCCCAGTCTCTGTGACTTTCCAGGAGGATGCCTGGCATAGAGGAGTGTAGGCACTGCAGCACTCCTGGGCTGGTGGGTTTGCTGTAATGTGTGACTCTGGGGCTGTGACAGTTTGTATTCAGGGTATATTGCAAATACATTACAAGAAGTCAGGAGATAATATTAGAAATTCTCAGAGCTCTGAGCCATACTTGCTGTTTGTTTCACCGGCCCCAGGGCTTCCAGGAGAGGTGTTACCAAACTGTATAACAAACAGCACTTTTGTTGGAAGACGCTGGATGCTGCTTCACTCAGTCTTGTGTAAGTGGGGAAAAATCAGGGGATTGTGACCTTGGCCAGTTCTCACTGTGAAACTCACTCTATCTTCAAGGCTGTGGTTCTTTCATCCTATGCCAGAACTGAGAGCAGCAAGGCCACAGGGCAGCGCTGACATTGCTAGTGCTCAGGAGTTTATCAGAGCTGTGGGAGACAGAGGTGGATCTTTCCAAAGATCTGGGAGAGCAGTGTGTGCTGTTGGCCTGATGGAGGAGAAGAGGGTGGACCTAGCTTCTGCCACTGGAGAATGTCCTGGACTTTGACATGATGGGCAGTTGGGCAGTGCCACATGGAGAGGTACTGGGCAAAATACCTACTGCCTCCAGGGTGCTGCCTTGTTTCAGCACAGGAGGTGGGACCTTTGGGTAACTGTGACCTCCTGCTTCTAAGTGACCATTTGGGTATGTACAATAAGAAAACCTACTGTTTGCTCATGTGCTTCCCCTGGCAAATATAATAGATGGTCTCAGAATACACTGTCTTGGTGAGAAATCCCTGACACTGCTGTCAGGGTGGCAGCCTTCTCTGTGCTGGTAGGGAGAGCCTGGTCTGGAGGAGATGAAGTGGATGCTGTTTCCTTCTTATTTGTAGATGCAGTTTCCACAAGTCATCACTAAGAGATGCTGATGGCCTTGTTCTTAACTCTCTACCAGAATAAATCTTGCAGGCTGTCAAAATAACTAGCAATTTCTCCTGAGCAAGGATCACATCAGCTCAGAGGACATTACTCAGCATGGTTGCTCTGTAAGCTGGAGCTGAGCATGTCTCATCACAAGGCTCCCTGTGACTGAGTTCAGGGAAGGAGTGGGCACTTCGTGAAAGATCAAGCAGCAGAAAGAGAACAGTCATCAAGTAACTGCCTTGGGAAGGGAAGGGGAAACAAAATGTGGATGACAACAGCCCTTATTGCATGATTAGTGTCTGATCCTGAGCACTTTTGTTGTTGTTATATCACTCCATCCAGGATTAATATCCCAAGCCTGGGACTTGCAAATGCTTTACCTGCCTACAAGCACTCTGTCTGCCAGCCAGCCCAAGGAGAGGCAGCAGATGCAGAGCATCTCCACTTGTTCATGTGCAGCTAAGTGTTTATTCTGAAGGATGTTCCATAAAGTGGGAAATATTTTGGGTCAACTCAGATTTGCCTGCCACTGAGAACTGATAATCTGAATCTTTTCTGACATGCGTGGTGTAATCCTAGAAAGGTGTTTGCATGCACATTTCCCTCCAAGTGCCATGTCTCTAGTCCTCAGCCAAAAGACTTCAACAGTGGGTGGGCAGGAAATGGTGGGCTCCTCTGATTTTTGCGAACTTTTCTTACAGCTCTGCTGACCAGGTGACGGTGCATTTTATAAATCGGGATGGAGAGCGACTTACGGCCACAGCTAAAGAAGGGGAGAGTTTGCTGGAAGTGGTAGTCAATCAAAACTTGGCCATTGATGGATTTGGTAGGTGTTGCACAAGGGTATGTGCTCTTAGGATTTATGTGTCTGTGCTGTGACTAGTGGGTACCTGGGAATAGTGCAGCTGTAGACATGCCACTGTGTTCTGGTGAGACCATGAAGCAAGCTTCTCTTCCCCAACAGCTGCTTGCTGGGCTGGTTACCACACTGAGATGGCAGTGTGACTTCCACACTATCACTGCTGGGATTCCAGTGGCCTGTGTTGATGTGTTTGGCTGGTTAGAGCTGACGTACAAATTTGAAAACTGACTATGATCCTCCCAGAGAAGAGGCAGGCTGAAATCTGCATCCATCTGCTGTGTTTTCTGGCATCTCTTTTGACATGCTCCAGATCTGTTAAAGGACCTTTCCTCACGTGGTTCTGGAAGATGATCTCTTTCACCCCCTTGTTTTTTCTGATTTGCTGTCTCTCCTGTGTTTCTCCACCAGGTGCATGTGAAGGGACATTAGCCTGTTCCACCTGTCACCTCATCTTTGAGAAGGATACCTTCCAAAAGCTGGATGCCATCTCAGATGAAGAGCTGGACATGCTGGACTTGGCGTATGGACTCACTGAGACGTAAGCCTCCCTGCTGATCGCAGTAGATTCTCAAGCCCCTGAGGCAGATTCTCAGCACCTGGCATCTGTTTCCAAGAGGACAGGACTTATTCTGTACTATGGTTGTACCTCTAGAGCTGCTTTCTCCTGGGGCACAGGAGACCTTTAATAGGAACTTTAGTGAAAACCTAGCCTGGACCAGGCATCCCAATGTGGGTGGGGAATTTCTTCCTTTACTGTGGGAACAGATGAGCCTCACTTAATGTTTCCTTCTCAGATCTCGCCTTGGCTGCCAGGTGTGCATTAAGAAGTCGATGGATGGTCTGACGGTGCGGGTGCCCATGGATGTATCAGACATCAGGAGGCAGCTGGAGGTTGGAAAGCAAAGCAAACAGTAACCGGAAATGACTCCTGCACAACTTGTGTCCTCATTTTAGGTGTGGCAGGGTACTTTGCTTTTGGTTAACACTATTGCTTTACGTGGCTGGCTTGACCGTAGAGGTCTGATTTGGTATAAATGCCTGTTTGGCAAATCTCTTGTTTAAACAAAGCTTAATGCTAGGGTCTTTGGTACATGTTTTAAGTTTAAGTGCTTAAGTGCTCTGCTGAACACAACTGGACCAAAGTGTATGGCTTTATTTCCCTGGGTAGGTGACGGTACACATCTGTGCTGTATGTGACTCACCCTCTCCTTTTGAAATATAAGGAATTCTGCTATTCTAAGCAACTGCTGGGATTTTTGCAAGGCTTGGCTCTTTAACTGTAGAGCAGACTTTTCCCAATTTGGGAAGCTTAAGAGAGCTGTTCCAAATACAAGACAGTGTTCTGATTGGCTTGATGACATAGGCTACCTGAGTTTGGTTAGCAAGAACATACTGATAACCATTTGAATGCTGACATTTCCTATAAGAGGGAACCATTTGCTATGAATTTGAGATGTTACATGTCACTGAATTGTTACATGCCATAATCTGCTACTTTCTCCAAATACTAAATTTTCCCATTGCTGTACTACCACATATGTCAAATAAAATTCTAATAAACAGGCTTTTAGACCTGTGAGATGCACTTTTCTGGTAACATGAGCCTGGCTGGAATAGAATGAGTTTGATGGAAATTTAGGTATAATATCCTGTTGCCCCAGTTTACTTGACTGGATTTTCCCCTCGTGTTTGAGTAAATATGTCAATCTTGCCATCTAAATGTCATAGAGAATCCATGATCTGTAACTGAGTTTTACAAACAGAATTCTGCACAGAAACTTTTCCTATGGGTTTAGTTAAAACCCAGGCTATGTTTAGCAACCAATTTAAAGCAACAAGTTACTGTTCTTAGGCAAGGTATCAACCCCATAAAAGACATATACATTTAAAAAATGCTTTTCTTATATTAGAGCATTCACAGTTTTATTTGGCATAAATTGCAGAGTTTTGGTGGGGGGGTGGGAGGGATGGGATGGGACTGCCCTGTGTGGGAGGCCAGCAACTGTTCTATGACTGTCACAGCCCCTTCCAGCTGGCTCTGAAACCAGCGTAAAAACCCCTTTGCACACCAAAAGTTAAATCAGTCAGAGGAGCATGTGGCACTTGTGCTCAAATACATTTAAGGAGTGATAGCCACTAGGAGTAGGAGAGACAAGGAACATGCACAAAAGGAGACACGGGAGGTGACATGGGAGGAGGGAGTGGAGGAGGCAGGTGGAAGGGGGACAGTGTCAGTGACCCTGTCATGGAAGGAGGTGCTCTGTCCCAGAGGAGGCATATCTCTGAAGGGAAGTAGCTCATAGATGACCCACGCTGGAGCGGGGACAACCCTGAGGGACTGCAGCCTGTGGATGACCCATGCCAGGGCAGGGACACCCCTGGGGGACTTGTGGCCCCTGGAGGATCAACACTTGAGCAGATGTAGTAATTAAGAAACCAGGAGCACTGGAAGTAAATGAGTAAGAAGCCAGGACTGGCAGGAAGAAACTGTTATGCACATACCCTGACCTCCTGTGCCACCTCTTCCCTCACTGAAGGGATTGGGAGCTACTGGTGTGTCCCTGTTGTTTTAATTGTTTGTCATATTCCTTCCCTCCCCCAGTTACTGAATCAGTAATTAAAAGGTTATGTTAATCGGCAATAAATTAAGTAAAATTCCACAAGTTGAGGTGTTTCAGCCTGTGACAATACTACCTGATTAGATGGGTGAAAAACAAATTTTGTACAGAGAGAGGTAATATTTCTTGTTAGACTGAATGCTGTAGCTGGGGGCAGAGGAGGGTAAACACTTTCAGACGTACACGTCCTCCTTTAGATTTGAAATAAGAGCTGCAAACTCCAAGTTTAAGCATCCTGGTGCAAAGTGAGTGGAAAGGATCTTTCCAAGGTCAGGATCTCTGCAAGCATATTGAATGATTTTGTCTGGGATCACCTCGTAACTCTGCCTCCTCCTGGAGTTCGTTTCCCCCGTTACCCGCTGGCTTTGACCTGTGGTTTGTGTTGGGTTCGCAGGCCAGGACCCGCCTGGAAAAGTTCAGCAGGACGAGAACGTCACCTCCGAGCTCTCGGATCGGCAGTCGCTGGCATCAGCCACCACCACCGGGCGATGCTGGGGGGGCCGGGGGCTTCGCGGGGACGCGAGGTGGAGCTCGCGGTGCAGCAGCAGCGCCCGGCGCCCGCAGCGGCGGGAAGGAGGACGCGGCTTCGTCGCGTCTCCCTCCCTCATCTCCTCGTCTCTGCCCGTGGCTGGCTCTGTCCCGGGGAGCTGGGAGCTGCTGTCCGTGTTCGGTGACCTCGGTGCTGCCTCCCTCCACACCTTCCTTTCGGGGAGGGGTACTGCTGGCCCGAGCCCTGCCCCTCTCAGGGTGGTCCCGTGTCCGCGGGGGGCTCTCGGGCACAGGTGAAGAGTGACACCCTGTAACTCCCCACTACAGGCTTTGGCTTCCTCTCTGGTCCATCATGCAAACACCGGTACAAAACTTTATCCGGGGAAAAGAGCAGGCAGCTGTCTACTGGGGGAATTTTCTAGTGTGGGCCAGAACCACTTGCTGTAGGAGGTGAATGCAGTAGGGTGGGGTTTTTGCGGGGTCCCAGCCCTGTTTTGGGACCATGGCTGTGGTGGTGTACTGGGGCTTCAGAGGCTCTCGATTGGCATTTCACATAAGCTAGTGCAAGGCCAAACCTTCTACAGGGTAGCCCTTTGTTAAACCTCAGGAAACTCTTCCAGGGTGTGCCTGTTTCTCCCAAACCTTTTCTCCTCCGACTTGCCCCAGGTTGTTATAATAAAGCAAAAAGAATAAAAAGGGATTAAATGAAAGCAGTAAAGCCACCACCTTCAGTACCACTTCACGTCTCTCCCCACTCCTGATGCTGCCACTATCTGTTTGCAAAGCAGAGATGATCCGGAGCTTTGCAGTCCCACTCTTCAGCCCCCTCCTGTTTGTGAGTTTGAAGCTGGACCACAGGTTGCTGCTGAAAGATGTCAGTTCTCTACACAGAGGTGCGATGCCATATGCTGGTGGGATGGCGAGGGAGGGAATAGCTGCTGTCTTGAAAGGGTGGGTTGACTGTAGCATTCCTCTTCAGAGCATGGGTGACCTTTGAAGAAAAAGTTTCCAGGTGCAAGCTGTTTGCTGTGATATGCAGGTAGCCAGAATAGCTGCTCTTTGGCAAGGCTCTGTCCCTTGAAGGTGCCATGGGATAGCAGAGAGGACTCTGTACAAAGGAGCTACCTGCAAAGGATGGGGAGAAATATGTCTTGAGAGACTGGCTTTCCTGACTCTGTTGGGATGTCAGAAATGGGATTGAGATGGTTGAAATAAACTACAGCTGCCCTGGGCACTTCCATCACTGTTTCTGTCAGCCTGCAGGGTAAGGGAACAAATTGTACATGCCAAGCAGAAATGAGAAGAGGCTGAAGTGCATCAGTCATTGTCTCTTCAAGGCAAATGAGCTGGACTTGTCTGGCCTTAGTCTATAATGGGAGCAGGTCATGAAGGCTCCTCACTTCCCAGATGGCAACCACATAACATGTCTTCCTGAGTGACTGTGTCTGGCAGGGCTCTGAGTAGGGCTTTCAGTATGTGTCAGGCCAACTTGGACTAAATATCTCCTTTTGATCTGAAAAGGGGCAGAGGGAGAAGGGAAACCTATTTGTGTCTGAGGGCTATACATTAAAAGAAAATGTGGCCTTTCTGGGGCAGAAAGCCAACTGTCTATGTATTTGGTATTTCTTGTTATGAGTAAGCTGGGTGCTGTGGAACTTTTTCAGGACTGCTTGGTGACTTCCAAATACACCTCTGCATCTCAGGGAGGGGCACATCCCACTTGAGAGTTTTGAGAAAGGAATTTTGATAGCAGTTGGATATAGTAAGCAACAGGAAAATGACATCAAGCAGCACCCTAAGGCATCACAGATCACATTCTCAGCAGGTGTAAATCAGTGACAAAGGCAATGACTGTGAGGATGGGGTACTCTCCTGTTGAGGAAAGGGGCCCTTATTTGAATGTTTTGTAATTGTCTTCCTTAGACTTCCCAGGAGTGCTTGTCCAGAGACTCCACCACATGACAGAAGATGAACAGGTATTTACAAGGAAGATAAAGCTAAAACAGTTGCACCTTCCTTCTTTGCAGGAAGGCAAAGAGCATTTTTCTTTTTCCTTATCTTGACTTGTCTGCTGCTGTGCAGCTTTCCCCTCTGTGACGCTGCACCGATGGGAGCACTGACAGCACATCTGCAAGCTGCTGTGGGAGTGTGGGGTGAAATCACAGCCCCAGGTGGCATGGTGACCCACTGCTGGGTGTCTCCTGCCAGGGACTGACAGGAAAGCAGGGTGCTCTCACAAGAATTAAGTCAGAATTTGTGTTTTGGGCAATTTATACTTGGGCCTTGAGTTTCCTGGGATTAAAAGCAGTAGTTTGGCATTATTGTTCAGTAGAAGCTAGGAGTTCTAGGACCTTTTTGTCTTTATGTCTTATGTCCCCATGGGGACTGTGGCCAGGATTTGGGAGGTTTAGAGGTGGGGCATTATTATTAAGGCACTTACATATTCCTCAACTACACTTAGAGAATGCTGGATGGTGGCACAGCTTGCAAGTTTCCTGGTCTGCTATGCCTAGGAAATCTACGACTAATTTGCTACATGTATTTTGATGGCCTGGAATAAAGTGGAATGCTTCTGCTAACTTACTGGATGTAGGATTGGGTGCCAAAATGTGGGGAGCATCTTGGTCTCCAGCAAGATGGACCCTCAGAATTGCATTATTGCCTGGGCTCATGGAAAAGGGGGTATGCAGATTTACATGCCTAGGCCTAGAGGTAGCAGGTGCGCAAGGTCTCTGTGCCTTTGCGGAACTCGTCTCCCTCTGTCTTGTGTAGCACCCTGCCTCTGCTGTGCAGCCACATGCTCCCAAA